AACGAGGACCTTAAAAATGTTTTAATTTTAATCATTTCTGACTCACGCTGTCCTTGTCATAGGCACTCACTTGCTGCTAATTACCCAGCTATGACCAAAAGAATCACTAAGCCCAAATCACCAACCCACAGTCATGAGTTAAACAAATCTTTATTTTAAAAACCACATTTGAGGTGGTTTGTTGCACAGCATAATTAAGTAGAAATAGGCCACCAACTATAGTGGCTTTTGTTGTTTGCTATTGAGAGCCTTAGTTAATATAACATTTAAAAATTCTGAAAGTTGCCGGGCACGGTGGCTCATGCCTGTAATCCCAGCACTGTGGGAGGCTGAGGCAGGAGGGTTGCTTGAGCTCAGGAGTTCGAGGATTGTCTGAGTGAGAGTGAAATCCTGACTCATGAAAATAATGAAAAAACCCAGCTGGGTGCCCCGGCGAGCGCCTGTAATCTCAGAAGTTTCAGAAGATGCAGCAGGATGCCCACACCCAGAGTCTGAGGTTGCAGTGAGTTATGACGCCATTGCACTTTGCTCAGGGCACAGGGTAGAACTCTGTCTCAACAAAAAATTGTGAAAGTTGTTCATTCCTGATGTAGTTTTAGTTCTTCTATTATAAATTTATTCATAGAGATAGATGCAAGAAATTGAGCTGTGGAGGAAAACATACATGATTCATATGTTCTTGGATTTCAAAGTTTTATAATGTGTGTTAAATGGATATGTGATAATCAATAAAAAACAACTTAAATTTTTTTATTGAATTCAGAAACAAATGCCAGGATGAAGCACTTGTAAGTAGGTTTGTAAATCAGATTTAGGTCACAGAATAACCAGATCATGTCCAGTATCCAAGCACTATTCTGTGCTATTTTGAGATAGGCTCAGATTGTCCAACTTCACAGACACTGTATCTGAGTCCCTAATTTCATGGCTGATGACCTGATTCCAGGTGAAGAGCACCAACTCAATACCCAGCAACCAGAAATTCCTTTACAGAGAAGTTGGCAACTTTGTCATCATGACCATGAGAGCTAGACCTCCATTCTGCCATGAGTCAAGGGTTCTCCATCTCACAACCATGTTGAACACTGTGGCCACATGGTCTGTGAATGTCCTTACTCAACTGGTGATAGAAACCCCAGCCTCTAAACACATGATGTAGGAGTGAAGGAAAACATTCCCTTTTTCCAGAAGGTTCACTGAAAGATCAACTCACAGTTATGGCAGATTAATAAGAGAAAGAAATGTATTTATTATGTGTACAAGAATCATGGAGTGATTACCCAATATCCCAAAGGGGCCCAGAAATTTATATTACCCTCATTTTAGGGGGAGATGAAGAATATAGGTAACTCAGTTTGGGGGCAATAAATGGTATTAGGGAGACTGGATGGAAGGGGGAAACAGATTTAATTGTAAATGGTTCTCCTTGGAAATTAAATTAACTTGAGAGACAGGTGTTATCTCTAAAATGATTTGGGTCAAGTTTGCTTCCATTCATGATCTTCTTTCCTATAATATATTGAGATAACATGGAGGAGAAAGGGAGTTTGTTGTACTTTTTGATGGTTCTTTCCAGTTTTATACAGATAGAGGGAAAGCCCCTTCCAACACTGATTGACCTGTAGGGGCATTACATTCAAAATATTTTTTATACCAAGAAGCCATATTTTAGGGTGTAATTTCCTGAACTCCTGTATTACCTCTGTCAGGGACTTCCCTAGAAATTTCACATATTTACAGTCAGTGGCTGTAGAGAGAAAGATCAAGTCAATAGTCAAGTAACAAAAGGTCTGAAAAGGGAGACAGGTACATAGAATAAAATAAGAATAAATAAGTACAAAAGAACAGATCTAAGCACATTTCCCAGTACTCCATTAAGTCACTCTCCCATTCCTGGGATTAGACCAAGGAAATAGTTTCACTTCATTGATCCGATGGAGAATATTTATCTTGTCTTGTAAGTGGTGCAGATCAGTCTCTACTTGCCCTGAGAGGTTTCTGTAGGAATAGCACTTTTCCCCAACAATTGCACAACTCCTCCCTGTTGTGTTTTTAGGGCAACCAGCACGTAGCGGTTTTGAAACAAGACTGAGGCAAGTCTGTTGACTTCTTACTAAAGTGCTCCAAATGCCTGCCTGGTGATATTGAACTCTCATTCTATTACCATGGGAAAAATAAAAACTGCGTTTTCAATCTCATTTAAGTTCCAAATGCTGGGAGGAGTCCTCAGCCCCCAAGAAAACTTAGAATTGTTATTATACGTATAGATGATTTTTTGTTTGTTTGTTTGTTTTAAATATAAAACTGCATCTAGTACATTTCCATGGTACCATGTTATGAACAAAAAGGCCCAGGTTTGTAATTTGGCCAGCATTTAAAGTGGAGCACCTGGTAGCGGAGAGTGTCAGATATCCAGGTTTGCCGCATCCTGACCATCTAGGTGGGAACCATTTATGTACTTTATAGCCACACAATGAGAAGACCAGTGTTACATGTAGTTAGGGTCAAGTTGAAATCCATGACCTCCCAGCCCGAAGTTTTCTGTGCCTTTTTTTCCTTATTGGCACATCTCCACTTTCCATGCATCCTTGCCACTTTGTGGGAACAGAGCAGGTTGTGAAATGTTAGCTATAAAGGGCTTCGGTCCAGTTCTGGCAGTTGTAGGGCTTAGTTTTGTCACCTAACCAGGTCAGACAGGACTTTTAGTCTGGCCATATGGAATCTTTAGTGTTTGGCAACTTAATAAGGGAGCAAATGAGCTATGCCAAGTTGCTCAGAGTCTGGTTTGTGAGCTGCCCATCATGTCAGGTGATTTGACAAGCGTTGACATCATAATATTAGTGTCAGCACCATCTAAGAAGTTCAAGAATGCCATCTGTGCAATCGAACTGTAGGGTTTGATCACAATATTACCCTAGTATGTCATCTATTAAAGATAAAAAAATTCTTTTTAGTAACTTTGTGACAGAGTGAATGGCCTGAAAATAAATGGCAAAAATATTTTCTGTCTCTTAAAGCTTCCCCCACTCTTTTTGGAAACTGAGACCCCCATTTATGCCTCAGGTAGTGAAGAGAAGCAAAGGAATGCCTTTTGTTCTTTTGGGGGGCTGAACTGTCTGGAGGGGCAGAGGTCAGGGTGGGTCTCCCAGGCAGGTGGAGGTCAAGGCAGAGATGGGACAATTAGAATCATCGACTGTAGTTAAATGACAGTAGCCTAGAACTGAGGGCCCATCCTTTGAAAGCCCTATGTTTCTGCTTATGCACAGGAAATTTGGTATTTTGAGGCAAACAGTCTGACATTTTTCCTCTGCTGGCAAAGTAATAAACTTCTCTTTCCTTCTCCTCAACCATTTGTCCCGTTTTTCCAATGAAACTTTGTGGACACGTGCTGAGCTTTTGGTACCAACTTTACCTGAGAAAGAGACAGTTACTGAGTTGCCACAGAGTTTTGTCTGTGTCCAGTTGATTCCAGGAGTGGCAGCGTGATGTTTTTTCTCTGGCTACAGATGCCACATCTTGTCATACATCTGACTTCTGGACTGGGTACACTGGGCACTCACCTCTGCAAAAACAAAAATTAATTCATGTTCCTCTGCATGATCTAGAAGTTGTCATAACCAGCAATACCATTGATTAGTTAATGTGGCCAGGACCTGGAAGACTGGTACAAAGGCTGCCGGGTCTATTCCCGACATGCTGGAAAAACACTAAGGGTTAATAAAACAAGGCATAGCTTGAAAGAAGAGTCCCTCTATGGTTTATCTTATAAGGGTATAAGTGAATCTTTCTAAAAGCAGAGTATGAATGTCTTAACTCAATAACTAAGAAAATGACATGAAAGTTATGTTAACCAGTTTGATGAGAGTATTTCAAAATGTATACAAATATGAAATGTATATGAAAATGTATATGCACACTGTACCCCATGATTGCATTAATGTACACAGTTATGCTATAAGAAATAATAAAAGAAATTCGAATGGGAAAAAAAAAGAAGAGTCATGATGGAAGATGAAAAGAGAATATAGAGGTGAGGGGAAACTTCATTTCACTTTTAGGTTTTGCTAAAAGATCAACTCACAAGTAAGGCAGGTAAGTAAGGAAAGAGATTTATGTGTATTTACTGTTCACATGAGGAGAATCACAGAGTCATTACCTGCTATCCCAATGGGGTGTAGAAATCATATACCCTCATTTTAGAGGGGAGAGAAGGATAAGGAATATAGGTAATTCTGATGCAATAAATGGTATTCGGGAGAAGGGATAGATACTTGGGAGAATAAAAGAATGCAAGAAACAAATTGACTTGTAATTTATTCTCTTTGGAAATAAAATTAATCTAACAGACAGGTTTTATCTTTAAAATAATTTGGGCCGGGTCTGGTTTCATTCTTGGTCTTCTTTCCTGTAATATATTGAGATAACATGAAGGGGAAGGGAAGTTGATTGTTCTTTTTGATGAGTCTTTCTGGTTTTTTGGAGAAAGAGGGAAAGCCTTTTTCAATGCCTACTGATCTTTTTAATTCAAATACTCTCTATTCCAGAGCCATATTTTGGGGTGAAACATTTCCTGAGCTCCTTCTTGGGAGAGTGATTCTTCCTGCAGGTCCACAGGCATGCTCATCTAATAGTTACCAACATTAAGCTTCCACAACATCCTTACATATATAAGGAAATAAAGTGTCACTTCAGGAAGGAATGGAGCTTCTTTTCATAGAATGGTAAGGGAGGACCTGAACAGGACAGCTCAGCAGGAAATAGAATAATTGAAAGCATAGGAAGAAACTCAATTAGGGAACAATAAGTTAAAAAGTAAACAAAAAAATTTTAAACCATTTCCTGATTCAGTTAATATTTACCATTTATAGCTTTTTCTTCTGTTGCTAGAACAAAGGCCTTGCCCCAGGAGCACAATATAAAGAGGCACACAGCCAGCATCTCTCCACTGGGACAAGCTCTGCTCTCCTTGTCACTCCTCTGGAGGACCCCAGGATAGCACGATGGAGAAGCTTCTTCTGAGTCTCCTATTCCTTACCACTGTCACAGGACATAAGACACATTCAGGTAGGTATGAGACAACTTGGGAAGTTTTCTCCAAGTTTCAGAGGTACTAAACTATAGCACATTTTGTTGCTGCTACTGCTGCACCAGGAAGTTATGAGCGAAGGACGGTGTGTAAGTTATCTATTTCTGCGTAGCAATCTACCTCAAAACTTAGCGGCTTGAAAAGGCAAACATTTATTACCTTATACTTTCTGTGTGTCAAGAAGTAGGGAGTGGCTTAGCTGATGATTCTGACCTCAGGTCTCTCATGAGGCTGAAGTCACTGGACCAGGATCGTAGTCTCATCTGAAGGTTCGAGTGGAAGAGGATCTGCTCTGAAGCTCACTGATAGGGTTACTGTTGAGATTCAGTTGCTTATGAATGTTGGGTTGAGGGCCTTGGTTCCTCACTGGTTGTTGGCTATGAGCCTCCCTTACTTCCTCGCCACAAGACCTTTGTGTAGAGGTGCCACAATGTGGCACTTTTCTTCTCCCAAAGTGAGTGATCTAACACAAGGAGAGAAAAGGCCCAGCACAGAAGCCACAGCCTTGTCATCATCTATTCTTAGAAATCACATACTTTGCTCCTGCTCTGTTCTATTCATTAGAAGTGAGTCATCCCACATCCAAGGGGAGGAGAATTATTTTTGGACATATTTTTAAAACCACCACAGATGCTAATGAGTAAGGATATGGCTGGCATAAAGAAGTCTTAGGGATAAAGAAAGAATAGACTTGGCTTATGGACAGAAATATCATTACCTCTCACCTGAGAGAATAAGAAGGGATGTGTGGCTTTTACTAGAAAAAGAACACTCGTTACAAAAGTTGGGGTGTTCTCTCCCCATGCCCCTTCAAGTCTCCATTAACATGAGAGAGAATATGAAATCTCGGAAGTAGCTGACTTGAACTTGTTTCTCCAAGCTAATTCAGTCACTTTTGTGAAGTTGCTGAACTCTGATCCTCAGTTTCTTCATCTATACAATGGGGATAAAAACGTTTATCAACAAAGAGGTGTTACAAAGATTGGGTGAGATCAAAGGCAATATATACTCTATGATGTGTAACTTCTATAAAGAATTTGCTGTTTTTTAAAAATTCTCCATAAAAATCTTTAATGTTTTGGCCCAACTCTTTTCAGTACCTCCACTAAGGACAATCCCATCTCCTCATGTCTGAAATGCCATTTTTCCATAGTATTACCAACAGTAATATGTTATCCAAAACCTTATTCTCTAGCCAAGCATGCTATTTTGCTCCAGGTTTGTATACTGACAAGGTTCCAAATCACAAGCAGGGAGATAACTAGATCACAGGGTATAAATGCATAATTTACTTTTCTATCCTCCTTGTTCCTGTTGTATTAACTGAAGTTCTCTCTCTTTCTTTCTTTATTAAAGTCGGTAATCTCTTCCTTAGTTTCTTTCCCCAAGTGCTCTGTTCCTATTGTTTGTCCAGGATGATCATTTCTTCAGAAGACCCGGAATTTAAGACATGGGAATTCATGCTTTTTTTCTATTTCCTGCTATGAAGCAAAACTAACTCAGTTCAGGACTTCATAGTGCTTCCAGGCTATGTCTCCCTTGATTCAGTTAGTCATTATTCTTTACTTTATTTTTTAGGTTGTAGTATTTATTAAATTTGCTTTCTTAAGCAAGAAAAAACAGTTGATTTTATAATCATTAAATGCGCCTCTTCTCTTGTGGAACTTGAGAGGAAATAAGTCAGTGATAGGTAATACCATGATCCTGGTAGGGCAGCCATGGGGAAACAAACGGGAAAACTGGTCTTAAATTGGCACACAGGATCAAAAGGGGATGGAGAGGAAGACAAGGGTACTATAAAAGTCTGGGCTGTGTGGTTGTACACTATCCTATTCCTTGGACTTGCACTAGCCAGAAGTGTTGGTCTATCACAGCCAAGGCAAGGTTCAAGATGAATCATTAAATTTGTACCCATGGGGGAAATCTCAGAATCTGATTACTGGTGGGAGAATAGGGTGCTGTGTGCTTTGACCATTACACTCCACTGCATTTGCTGTTTTATGTGGATGAAATCTATAAGAATGAGGGAGTTGGGGTGGGTATAGGACTACTTTAGTTTACCTTTCTAACAGGACAGCTGAACCAAAACCCACCTTTTAATACTGACGTTTTGCTTATATAGTCATTGAGCTAATGAAGTTACAAGCACTTTGTAAACTCCTGCATGCCATATATACTCTGTCAGGGCTCAGCGTCTACAGTGAGAGAGAATGAAACAAGAAGGAAGACCCAATTTTGACACATTATCTTTTCTCCACAGATATGAAAGGGAAGGTGTTTATTTTCCCCCAGGAATCCGCTACAGCCTACGTGTCCTTGATTCCCAGGGTGCACAAGCCACTGCAGAACTTCACTCTGTGCCTGAAGGCCTTCACGGACCTCAGCCGTTCTTACAGCCTTTTCTCCTACAACACTCGGACCCAGGAGAATGCACTTCTTCTCTTCGTCAAGAAAGTGGGAGTGTACGAACTATATATTGGAAATTCTTGGGTGACTTTCAATGCCCCCCCATCTCCTTATAGCCCAGTGCATGTCTGCACAAGCTGGGAGTCTGCCTCTGGGATTGCTGAACTCTGGGTGAATGGGAAACTCCTGGGGAGGAAGGGTGTGAGGAAGGGGTACACTGTGGGGTTGGATGCTAAGATTATCCTGGGACAAGAGCAGGATTCCTTTGGTGGAAAGTTTGACATAGCTCAGTCCCTTGTTGGGGAGATTTGGGATGTCACCTTGTGGGATCACGTGCTCCCTCTAAAGGACATGTGTGACTCATGTTACAGTGGAAACATCTTGAACTGGCAGGACCTGACTTATGAGGAAAATGGCTATGTGGTGACTAAGCCCAAGGTGTGGGCTTAGGTCTCATTCTCTTCATTCTTGATTTATGTTTAGCGATAATCACATACTTTTTGAAATTAAATGCATCATTTTTGTTTTCTTTTTCTGGTTCTGTTAAGGTGGTGGAAACTACATCAAAAATAAAAAGACAAAGTAGACCTTTAATATACACGATTTATTGTGAACAAAAATTATTTCAGGTGAATTGCACCATATTTTTCTGCTGCATCAAACTACAAGAACTCAGAGAACATACTGCTTTCAGTACTGGTCACCAATCTCCATGTATACGTGTGTGTGCGCATGTGCATACATACATACATACACACACACACACACACATATTTTATTTTTTTAAGGCAAAGCCTCACTCTGTTGTCCCAGGCTACAGAGCTATGGCACCATCACAGCTCACAGCAACCTCAAACTCTAGGCCCAAATGATCATCCTCCCTCAGCCTCCTGTGTAGCAGGGAATACAGGTGCCGGACACAACGCCTGGTTAGTTTTCCTATTTTTAGTAAAGACGGGGTCTTGCTTTTGCTCAGGCTGGTCTCAAACTCCTGAGTTCAAGCAATTCTTCCACCTTCACCTCCCAGGGTGTTGGGATTATAGCAGTGAGCCCCTGCGTCAGGCCATTGCTGGTCACCAATAGAACCCCATACAACTGGGAGACCCCCTAGAGGTTCTGTGTACCCCAATTCAGCAGCCTATAAAAAGATGTGACTATGGGAAAGTCTTTCCAAAATGGCTTACTATAGGGAACAAGACCCCCAAACAGAGAATCCCCAAAGAAGTTTTTACAGGAACAGGATTGTGAGAATGTTTCCCCTGTGCCCACCCCGGAAAGGACTCAGAGGCACATTCAGATAAAGGCAGAGGTAAACTTCCCTGGAGGTTCCTCTTTACACCTACTGTCAGGTTTCTCTCTTGGAGGTAGCTGCTCTGAGGAGCCAAATGTTTTGTTGTTTCAAGCAAAGTTTTACAAATTTGAAGCCCTTGTTGGCTCTTCTGCTGTTGGGATGCCCAGGTCTGCGCTGGACATGCACTTTCAACCATTTTCAGTGGGAACACTTGGACAGTTTGGCTGGGTGAGAGATATAGGCTGATTTCCTTTTCCTGAAATCAGGAAACCAACCTTTTCCTGGGTGGTTGGTTTGTTTGTTGGTTTATATCAGCCATTTCTGAACTGGCAGATATTTGGCAAGTTCTACCTCTCTTTTTCTCTAGACCGAATAATTCCAAAATCTTAAACTTTTCTTACAAATCAAAATAACCTTCACTTTTAGAGAACAATAACAATAAGAGTTAGGAGACTTCCAGACTCTTGTTCAGACTAATGTTTAAATTTAGAGTTTGATCTAGATGCCCAACTACTCACAGAAGATAAGTTTAACAATAAAGAAGTGAAAAGGGCGAAGGCAAGACATGGGTATCAGTTTATGTTCTACACTGAGAGGAATGAAAGTCCTGAGTTAAGTTCCAGATCTGATATAACCAGAGTTAGCTGGGAGATGTTATTAATAAATATAATTTCAAAAAATACCGTATCTTCAGATGTCTCTCTACTTGTGGTTACAGCACCTCGTGAGTTAGCTCCACAGAAAGCACATGGAAGTGCAGTGAAATTTAGAGGCTAGATGTGACCACGCTGCTTATTAACACTGAGCATACTGGCAATCGAGACGCACCATGGGACTAGTTCTGATAGGAACCTCAACAAAACCGGAAAACAATTTCACGGGTCTCCGAAGCAGATGAGGGTGTACAAAGCAGATAATATTTTTTGTGAATGTCAGGATCAGTTACTCTTATCATTGCCCATAGGAGAAAGGGATGGTAGTTTTGACTGTGATTCCGATACATCCTGTGCACCAACTGTGTCTTCTTTGAGAGTTAAGTTGACCTTTCAACCAATTACTTAAAAATAGGCATTACACAGCCTTCCTTTTCTGCTACCCAAACCCAATAACACTCAGCTACCCTGCTCTTATGTTTCTCCCCAGTTTTTTACCTGTGAATAGCCTCTGACCCTTTCCTTGGTAGTAACCTATGAGATTAGTAGAAGCAATAAGAGAATGATGGTAAAAATTAGAGTCAAGTCAGGGAGACTCTTAATCTTTAATGCAGCCTAGCCGCCGAATTTTGCAACTCTTTTAGGGTAGAGGATGTATGATAGCATCAATTTTTTTTCCAGCTTATGAAATACCCAGACTAGGATAGACTATATGTCAAACTTCCAAAGAGCCTAGGCAAGAGGCTTTTTGCCAATAGCACGGCGAAGGGCATCCTTAACCTCCTTGTTCCTCAAAGTGTACACAACGGGGTTAAGGAGTGGGGTAAAAACAGTGTAGGTCACTGAGATCAGCTGGTCCTGATCCCTGGTGTTCTCTGACTTGGGCTTGAGGTAGGCGATGGAGGCACAGCCATAGTGGACGATGACCACAGTGAGGTGGGAGGCACAAGTGGCAAAAGCTTTCTTTCGGCCTTCAGCAGAGGCAATCTTGAGGATGGTGGAGATGATAAGAATGTAGGAGATGAAGACCAACCCCATGGGTACCACAATAACCAGAGAGCTGACAATAAAATTAACTATGTCATGTAGAGTAGTATCAACGCAAGAGAGTTTCATCACTGGGCGGATGTCACAGAAATAATGGGCCACCTCTCTATCACAAAAAGGCAACCTGAACACTGAAGAAATCTGAATTATGGCCACAAGCAGCCCAATACCACAAGCCCCACATACCAGCTGGACACACACCCTCTTGTTCATGATGACTGAGTACCTCAAGGGGTTGCAGATGGCTACATAGCGGTCATACCCCATGGCTGTGAGCAGGAAGCAGTTGTTGATGGCCAAAGTAATGAAGAAGAACATCTGAGTGGCACAGCCAGCCAAGGAGATGGGTTGGCTTAGATTTAGGAGGCTGGAGAGCATCCGTGGTACAATGACTAACGTGTACACAGTCTCTGAAGTAGAAAGCGCACTAAGAAAGAAGTACATGGGAGTGTGGAGGTGACGGTCGATGCTGATAATTGTCACAATGATGACATTGCCAGCCAGGGTTAAAAGGTACAAGGCAAGAAATATCACAAAGAGGGTGAGCTTGTGTTCATGAAAGCTAGAAAAACCCTGGAAAATGAACTCATTCACCACTGTGTAGTTCTCTCTCTTCATTGGATAAATTCCAGATCAAAAAGGTGGAGACTTAGATCAATGAGTCAGAACACATCGGTGCCCAATCCCGTGAGCAGGGGAACCCAAGGAGAAGGAGCTGATAAAGATTCGGTTCCTGGATGGAAGTCACATTTGTGGGAATTACTATTTACCTGTAAGTACACACAGAAAAACACATTTAAGAAATAATTTCATGCACGACAGTTTAAGTAATATGATATAGAAGAGTAAGGAGGGATGGGAAAGGGTGGAAGGAAAGACACTGGGACAAGTTTGGAAAAGATTTCCTGGTGAGTTAAAACATAGGTGTTAGGGGAAGACTAAGCTAAAGAAATAGGAAATGCATAATTAAATTTGGAGGCAATTTTCTTTTAGATTACAGTTTCAGATTTTGTTTACCTCAAAAACATTTTCAACCACTTCCACTTTGTTTAAACCACAGTTTTGAACTTGAAGATCTTCCTCTCTGGCTTTCAAAGAAGACAAGGGTCCCTGCTTACATTTGTCATGAGCCCTTTTCACAAGTCATTCAACAGCTTCACACCTGACTGTCCCCTCATATTTTTTTAAAATAAAGAAATGTTTCCTCTTTCTTCAATACTTAACTCTCATCTCCCTTAGAAAATTTTCCTGGGACTAAGTACAACCCGTTAATCTGAACTTCCTATCGTGTTGCTCAGCATTGCCCGGTAGCTTGTTCTCAGACTGTGTGTAATTCTACGCATTTTCTAGCTTGTGCTTCAATGTGAAGTTTTACAGACACTCTTGCTTCACTATTAGACTAAACCGTGTTTTCTAATTTCTTCAGAATTATGAATTGGGGTAACCTTAGGGAAGCCAGTTCACACATCTCTCCTCTATTCCATGTCTGAGCAGTTATTGACTTCAAAAGCTCTCATTTTCAAAAACAGTACAATAATAATAGGCACATTTTAGCTTATAAGGAATTTTTTTTTTTTGAGACAGAGCCTCAAGCTGTCCCCCTGGGTAGAGTGCTGTGGCATCACAACCACAGCAACCTCCAACTCCTGGGCTCAAGCGAGTCTCCTGCCTCTACCTCCCAAGTAGCTGGGATCACAGGTGC